TGTGCTAGACACTTTTGAACAATATTTAGATAAACTTGAGTCTTCAGAGATATTGAACATTTCTGGAGAGAGTTTGTGTGTTTGTTGAATGCACTTCACAGAAGCCAGGACTACTCTCTATTTGAGGTATACTGATGGCTGATAAAGTGTTCAGTGCTGGGCATGTGTAATTCTGCCTTCAGTTTGTACAATGGAAAAGTTCGTCCACAGGTTTTTCTTTAACCAAAATGAGACAATAGACAGTGTCCAATATGTATGTGTCAGTGAAAGTTTATTATGTTCCAGCATACTCACATGTATATATAATTTCAGGCTGCCATTTTAATACTGGTTCTTGTTACAGCACTGTAATTTAAAGTATTGTTATTTATATGAATATTATTAACTGAACATAACCTAGATGAAATGTGAAAAATATGTGTGATTGCAGAAGGACTAGTTGCTGAATAATGACTGATTTAACAAATAACACTTTGTATTTATTGCGTTTTATATTTGTGGTAACCCTGGCACTAAACTTGTGTATTTTTAACGTTCCTTGTCATCACTATTGATGAATGTTCCATAGTATGCTTTGGTATTAGTGTTCTTTTCAAACCTTATTTATTAGGCATCCACTTTGCATTGTATAGAGATTTGAGGTTCTCATAGTGGCAAATGTTGTGGTCTGCTGGGACGAGGCATCATGCAGATTGTGGTTTGCTTTGGAACGTTAGTGAAACCTGGCAAAGCATTGAGCCAGCCTTGGATGATGGCCATATGATCAAGGATTTTGAAGAGCAAGAAATAAAATTCTATTTTCTATCGTATGGCAACTGAAACACAAAAATATGTTACTTATTAATCTGAGCAGTGTGATTTAAATTTAAGATTGCTTTACTTAGGAATTGTAAGACCATTACTCACAAAATTTAGTAGTGTTTTTAATTACATGCCTAGTTGTGCCCCACAATACACTTTTTCAAGTCACTGCACTTCACCAGTGGCTGTGAAAGTGACAGTGCATTATAAGTAAGCATTATATTGTGCCAGATGGTTGTAAATCTCATGATGAGTGTACTTCACTTTGCTTGGTTGTACCTCATTTGTATTGTGAATATGGAGGCGGCAGTTTCATGCAGACTCTTGATGCCTACTCTCAGAATATACAGCATCGCATCCCAGAAGGCTGTGATCTTAACACTAGATTTGTACTTTTGGTAAATACTGAACACATCCTCTTAACAAATCAGAAATGCACATGTGGACTTCCATTTTGTTTGTATAATGCTCAGTGCATATTAGCTGTAGGTTTTGGTAATACATTTGAATACTTAAAAATGTCTGGAGAACTTGGTAGATGACTAGATTCTAAAGGGTTTTGACGATGGTGTATAATGCTCAGAATTATTGGGGTTTTGGACTCTGTCCATCATCCTGTATTCTAAAAGCCAGAGAATATAACGTTTTGGAAACTGGATCTGTTTCCACCCTCAGGATCCAGTGATTGAGGTTAGCTCTGTCTAAGGGACCCAACAGAGTAGGAGTCTTCCCCATTCATCTGAGGATGGAAACATCCAATTTCCAAAATGTTATGTTCTCTAGTTTGTAGAAGCCAGTAGTTTGATTGCTGACTGTACAAACATCTGAGAGCTTCCCACATGTCACTGGGCTATGTGCATCTAACTCTTCCATGTGGGCTACTGAATTGATTTGCATACTGTAATATTGTTTGCAGGTTGACATCCTAAATAAATTCTGAAGTGAAATAAATTAGACAGTTGTACAGTTTGCATTGTCATCATTCTAAACAAGCAAGTTGGCTCAAGCAATAATAATGCATCTGACTTACTTTTGGAGGTGCCTGGTTCGAATCTAGGCTGGGATAGCAGCTGTCCTCTCTAAGGTTGGCTTGGCTTGCTTTGCTCCCTCCAGATGGATGCTGGTGTAGTACCATGAGATAGGTCACAACTGCTTGCTTCCCAGTCTTTAACATTTCATATTAAATAACCACAGAAGTTGGTAGAGTGTAATTAAATTGCCTGTGATCAATAAACCCAATGTGGTTGGCCTACGTGTGGCAGAATCAGATAGAGGGATTGTACGTATATGCCATATAAACTTATGTTCCTAGCAAACTAAGTTATTAATAAGATGTCAGATGCCGTTTTGGATTTTCCACATTGTTGTTTCTAAGTCGTGATGATGAATAGTCCTTTATACACTGCAGAGTTTTGTGATGATCAGAATAAACGTAAGATTGCAGTCTTCTGAGGCATGGAAATGTTGGCACCTCTCTACCAAACTACATGGCATCACATCGTAGAAAACAGCAATCTTTATATTCACCGCTGTGAGAACCAGATGTTTTAGGTAGTACTGTGCTGTAAGTCCCTTTGTATTTCTTCTTTGGGCATTGTCAATCCTGTATTTCTGCAGAATGTATTGGTAACTGCATCCACACATCCCTTGAGGTCTGTGTAGTACTGATATATTGTGTCTCTTCCATATCTAGTTCACTTGTCGCAATATCTTCACCCTTCTTGATGTCCCATGGAGGTAGGATCAGCCAGCCATGATGGACACAACTCTCGAAACCAAAGTGTCAGTAAACAACTACTTCTGTAGCTGTGGGCAACTGTTGAATACAACACAGCTCTGATTTTCAGAGGTCTGTTTATATTAAATGATAATTTGCCTTATAACTTCTATTTCTTAACCATACAAGTAGGTGTGAGTCACATTTCAGTATGTTTGGCCGTGTACAGTCATGTCACAACTCATTAATGTGCAGTGTTGATGTTATCATTCTAATGATGAGTAATTATGGTAAAGAAAAATGCATGCTGAAAAAAAAAAAAGAATTCACAACAAGCAGAGGTACCTGTTACTTTATTTGCAATAGCAAATGTAGGTGACACATGTATAATACAAATAACTAAACTGAGGAGCTTATCTGTTTTGTGAGAGATGTCTTTGATTATGTATGATTGTTAGCTCTCACAGTGACTGTATGCAGTGAAGTGACTTTTGGCAATCAGCCATGTCAGTACATAGATAGTATCCAACATTTTGGAAACTGTCTCTGTTTCCTTCTTCAGGGATTGATGTCACAACAGCCTTTGATGATGGAGACAAACAGTCTCAGAAATGTTGGATACTAAGTCTACTTTGACAAGATTGATCACCTGAGAATACTTCAGAGCACGTCTTTTGTTAGTTTTCATTCAAAATTGTTTTGTAAAGTACTTAGTGTAATTTAGTTGTTTGAATTGGTATTGCTTGTCAGTTGATTCTGGCATTGGTACCACTGTACTTACCAGGTCTGTAGCATTTGAACACTCAGGTTGTTTAACTATTCAATTCCAAAGCACTTTGTAATACAGAATAACTCAGTGAACAGCTTGTTAAATTAATTTTACAAGAAGACCCAGGTTTGGAAATGCGTCAGATGCTTCCTTGTCTGTGGTGTGGTCCAGCGGAGTTGAACAAACAGAGCTAAATTAGTAAGCATAGTTTTAAGTAATCTTACCATGATTGGCATTAACATTTGTTGTAGTGTTTAGGAAAGTATGTAACATTAGGAAAGGTGAACCACACATAATGCATTTGTTATTAAGTCCTGTTCACTGTCTGTGTATCTCTGAAGTCAGACTTTGTTGTTAGTACTAATTCTTTATATGGTAATCATTGTAATAATTTTATCTGGCCATTACCTGTACAGTGAATGAGTGTCAATATGTAAGTTGTTCTGGTTGAAAATGTGAAGGTTCAAACCCTCATACCCTGCTTTAAAAATGTATGGAATCTATCTGGGGTCTGGTGGATCACACGGTTGAATTTTATTTCTGCAGTGCTGATATTTTTGAAGATTATATTAACGAATATTGTATTAACCCTTTCCATGTTCTGAATGAAATCTTTGGTGTTTTCATAGTTTCAGTGAAAATATATTCCACCATTTTTGATAAGCAGATACAAGTACCTTCAGTAGGGAAGAAAGAAACTAAGGCATTTGTTTCATAAATTGAATCTAGCATAGACAGGGTTAAGTAATGTTAATATCATATGTTATAGATTTAGAAAATGCTACATCATGTTGCCTCAGATTGCAGTTGTTTCTAATGTGTCAGTATATGGTTTCTTCAGTAATTTCTAACATGTATTTAAGTCTTTAAAGCACAGTGGTCACTAGTGGTACCACCAGCTGTAACGTTCAGAAACTCTGCCTACACAGTGCATTTATGTGTCTTGTATAATTCCCAGAATTAACCAATTATTTCTGGAAACAGCATTAACTGATTGGTCCCCATAATGCAGTGTTTTCTGTGATGTACGAAGTAGATTTATATACATTATTTACATGAGTTTCAGGCTTCAGAGGATCAAGATGTGTGTTCCTTGCATTTCATTCTAGCAGGAAACAAGATTTGTAAATTTTACATGTACCCCGTACCAGGCAGTACAAGGTATGCCTTCTCCATTGCAAAAATTTTTAAAAGTAATTAGACTCAAGTGGAGTAGTGACTGCTGAAGGGAGAGTGCAACTTCAGCACAGTAATCATATTGTGAAGTTACAGATCATTATAACTGTTAAAACAATGTGTCAGAAATGGCCCAGATGGAGTATGAGGGTTAATTATGGGAAAATTATTTTTGGTGTCTGGAGTGACTTGAGCAGTTATTTAGATTTGTTTTTTGTTCTTTCTACAAATTAGAGTAACTTAACAGTGTTTTAGTTGTTGTGAATTTGAAATTTATTTGTAATCTTTGCTAATGTTAATGAAGTACTAGGTACCGAAGGACGTGTTAGTCATTGTAGTTGTATACCTGTAGTTCTGTATATTTGTCATTGCTATACTGTAAATGTTTGCAAACCCCCATATTGGGGCTTATAGACTGGATGTGAGAGAACATGTATATGTGTATGTAATATATATAAATATATTTTTATAGGAAAGAACTTTGGTGCTTTGCAAGTTATGTTTTTATCAAATTGGCCTGTCTTCTGTTTTGAATAGGCCCCAAAACCTGAGGACCATGCTGTGGGGGAGACTGGAGTAGGGCTCCACACACATTGTGGTCAGCTTCACGTCCTTCCTCCCATTTGCTCCATGAAAGGATCCCCTGATACCTTATCACAGGACATCAAGCCGTTTCGGGAAGCAGTGAGGAGTAAAATTCTTAATGTTTTGCGTAGAGTTGAACCTCAGTTGTCTGGGTTGTAGCAGTAGCAATAAGAGAAACAGCGATTTGGAAAAAGGATAGGAAACGGGGAGCATTTAATGGAATAAGAATTGACGCAGGAAACTGAAGTACTTGGAGAAAACTTGCCACTGTGTTCACCACAAGTGCCACGCGAAGTAAAGTGGAATTGAACCTAGGCCACCATGGTGAGAAGCAAGTGCTCAGTCATTAGAGCTGTGACACATCCATATATTTGTGATAAGTGTGAGCTGTATGTGTTTGTATTGAGGATCTATGTGAATGTCTTGAGTTTGAAGTTTAAGATTTCCAAAGGCAGATTTTGTATAACTATTTTTCACCCATCCCTTACAGGTGTAAAAAGCTTAGAACTGAATTTTAACACAGGAATTTCAGTGGCATTTGAAACTTCAGACATGGTTCAAAGTTCAGCTGTGTTGAATTTTTCCTGTCACAAGTATGTGATGCAAGGTATATTGTGCTTCGTAAAGATGTAATAGGGTTCAGGTAGCACAGATGTGCAGAATTTCAACTTACAGATGAGTAATTATAATTTTTAATACTTCTGTACATAATAAATCTAATACATGATCATGCATTTGTGACGGTTGTATAGTTTTTCAGCGTAATTTCATGTTGTGTATAAAGTTGGTTAATGTTCCTTGAATAGGCTATTGTAGAATTATTGATGGGGAGTAGTATACTTGCTTGATTTGGAAGGGGCAGGTGGAGAAGTGAACAGAGGTTACAACCAACAAAAGTAATAACGTTGCAAATGCAGACACTTATGAGTACCTACAACTAAAGCTTGCTAGTCTGTTATGTATGTTAATGACTAGTTATGAATATGAGCATAAAATGTAATAAATGGCATTGGAAGTTATGCATGAGTCAGTATCGTTCACCTTTTCCAGAAATTGTGACGGTATGTTTCTATATAGTATAGCATTATATATCATGTATAGAATCTTATTAGAGATGTAAATGTCATAACACAACTTTTAAATCACTGAGATTTAATTTTCTACATTTGTTTTTATAGGAAAAATGTTGCATGTGAAAGAAAGTGATTTTTCTACTGACTTCATGCTTTAAATTTAATATCGATATTGGCAGCCACAACAATTTCTTGTTGAAATATTGGTGGGCTTTATACTAGTGGTAAATAACAGGATTAACTAGCAAGAATTAATATGACTGTAGTACCATTAGAACAGTGTACCATCATTAGTCTGTTTTGTGCCTGTACCATTGTGAATTTCCAACACTGGGGTAGCAATTATGTGGTCTTAATTTGTGAAGCGAAACATACATGATTGTTTAGTAAATGATGCGCTTGTTTTCAGATATATTTGTTGGAAACTGAAGGAAAGACAGAAATAGCTGAAGGCCAGTAATGGAATTTTGTAAGAGGGAATGTTTTGCCAAGTGTTTGCTGGACAAAGTTGAAAGGTTGTGGGCACAGAAACACTGAAAGGAAATGGCATGTATCTTGTATAAATTGTAATGAATAGTTACTCAGTTTGGTCCTACTTCTCAAAGATTCCGAGTAATATACAGGGCTAGTGGAGAAGTGACAGCCTGCAGCACACAATGGAATGAGTTTCACCCAAGGAAGTCTTCATATACCATTTTATATGCCTTCAGTTGAATTAAATTATATTTAAGATTGTGTTATTTACTGATTAAGATACAAATGTTGAAGTGTTTTTATTGCTGTAACAATTCTTGTTGTGTCGTTCACAAATTAAACCCAGAGAATTCAAACACATTGTTGACTCTTCAAAATTAATTTTGTTACTGAATTAATTAACCACATGTAGAGACCAAAACTGTTAATAATTTTTTTAGAAAATATAGCATTATGTATTTATTATGGAAATATATGTACATGCTACATTTTCAGGCGTTATATTTATAGCACTCAGAAATTCTTAACAATGGAATATCATGATGCCATCTTAGCTAGGATTACCACCATGACAACCAGAATAATAACATTGTGACAACTTGGTTCTGTTCAGGATTAGGCTTCATACCTTGCAAATCTCTTAATACTTTTTTACAGTGACACAAAAACATAATTTTGACGTACAAGTTTCAGATTTTACGAGTAGAATATGTGGTTGGGTTAGGTTAGGTGCAGATGCTGTTATACATCTGTGGCTGGAGTTGGATTTTTTATCTCTGAAGGACACTGAAAGTTCTTATCAATTCGTGAATAGTATTCAAATATATTTTCTGCATGTTATTTCATTGTGTTTTAATAAAGTTTTCAGTAACTGTTGCCTCTTTACACACCATTATTAATGAATTTTCATAGTTTGTCATAGATGTGCCCGTATGTATATATATCAGGAAAGAAAGCCAGTTCTCTTTGGAAATTATTCCATTGCCACATTTCAAATACACATGAGCTATAAGCGAATCTTTTGTAGGTATATGTAGTGTGATTTGAGAAAGGTTTAATAGCCGAAAATCCTATGTTACAGGTATGTCACCGGTTATGAGAGCAATGCTACCATTGTGTTGACTTGCAACAGGACAGTTTGAACCAGATGCACTCTTATGCTTTATGTTTCACGTTTTATATCAATGTGATGGCAGACTGATTAAATTGTCAAAATTTAGAACACACCAGACTAAAATAAAAATGAAACCAACTGTTCATCGGATTTCTGTGTCTTGAACGAAGAACACATTCTGGGCATAGTAATTGCGGTAACCCTTTCATGGCGAAGCGTCTCGTGGACTAGGCATTATAGACCAGTTGCATGCGGCCTCCAGGTGGGGGAACAGGCTGTGGGTCTGCCGGTGGTTCCTCGGCTGGCTTCGTGTCTGGGTCTTCTGATGGGTCCCAGTAGCGGGCTGCCAGTTCCGGCACCACAAGCAGTTCGAGCCGTAGACCTGGAGTGTCACCTTCTTCACCTGCATTGTTACTGCGCTTCCGCAAATAGTTGAAGCAGCACGTGCGGAAGTTGCGTGTCCCGCAAGCCGCCTGACACTCGCGTCCACATGAATCGCAGCTTAGAGTTACAGACCACGTGCACACACAGCAGAGCACCAGTCCTGCACAAACACCAGTCGACAACAATGCCTCATGCTTTACTTACTTACTTACTTACTTACTCACTCATGGAGCTCAGCCCTTCTCGAGGAGCTGCCAATCATGCAGCTACTCAAGAATTTTCCAGCATTTTATGGAACCCGAAGGTTCATTACCGTGTTCACATGAGCCCTTCACTGGTCCCTATCCTGAGCCAGATCAATCCAGTCCATACCATCCCATCCTATCTCTCTAAGATCCATTATAATATTGTCAACCCACCTACGCTTTGGTCTACTCAGTGGTCTCTTTCCTTCTGGCTCTCCCACCAATATCCTATATGCATTCCTCATCTCCCCCATTCATGCCCAGTCCTTCCCACCTCATCCTCCTTTACTTGATCATTCTAATTTTACTGGGAAGGAAAAACCTAGTTAACAATGAACTGATGGTTTAACACTGGAACATCAAAAGTTTGAATGCCAGTTGTTAAAACTAATCACCAGTCGCTGTTCTGAAGACATTAAAACAAGTGTATATTACTGTACTTTGAGAACAGGATGCTAAGGAGAATATGTGCATCGAAGAGAGATGAAGTGACAGGAGGTCAGAGTAAACTACATAATGAGGAGCTTCATAACTTGTACTCTTCTCAAAGTATAATTAGAATGATCAAGTCAAGGAGGGTGAGGTGGGCAGGGCATGTAGCACAAATGGGGGAGAAGAGGAATGCATATAGGATATTGGTGGGAAAGACAGAAGGAGAGAGACCAAGATTTAGGTGGTGGACAATATTAAAATGGATCTTAGAGAGATAGAATGGGATGGATTGGATTGATCTGGCTCAGGATAGGGACCAGTGGAGGGCTTTTGTGAACACGGTAATGAACCTGCAGGTCCCATAAAATGCTGGAAAATTCTCGAGTAGCTACACAATTGGCGGCTCCTCCAGAAGGGCTCAGCTCCATGAGTAAGTGAGTGAGTGAGTATGTTACTGTACACCCACTGCTCCCCCCCACCCAAATATTGTGACTGTAGCCAAAACGCCACATCGATCTGAGCTCGTGTGATGATGTTACGAAGTTAATGTTGACCCCCCATGTGTCTAGTCCCATACCACTGTCTCGATTCCACCGCAATTAATTTGTAATTTTAGAATGCAGTACGAAGGATTATAATTGGTTATCGTACTATTTAAATCAGACCTAACGAATCTCTTCTGTGTTGGAACCCATGTGTAGGTAATTTGCAGACAAGGTCTACTCCATTTGTTGTCCTAAGGTGGTCCTTGCCATTTTCCCATGCTTCCCTGGTCTTGTTAATTTATTGCAGTTACAAAGCTGTTTAGTGTAATGTACAGACTCCGAAGTTCGTTGTCTCATATTTCATTAAATATTCATTGAATAAAAAATATTTAAAATAAATGTAGTAAGCGTGATTGAGGTATAAAGTATGTGTATTATATAGAAGTTAATTTTATGATGAGCCATTTTTTGAGAAAATCGCTACGTTTCTATGTGAGCTTCGTAAGTAAATCACGTGCCAATAGTTCCATATGAAACAAAAGTAGACTGCAGGAAGCTATTATGTAGACTCCAGTACTAAATTTCATCGGAATCAGTTCACTGATTTCTGGAATATGAAAGAAGGCCACTCAAATGCTTCCCCCCCCCCCNCATTTTTCTACGGCCCTCATTATCGGTATGTACATTGTGATGCATTATATAGCGGGGTTGGTGGAGGCTACCAAATGAAACATCTTGAGAACTGATCTTCCTGGAAAATTTTCTCTCGCCGTAACTTTATATCCACCCACCCATCGTTATTAAAACATCGGTTTAACTTTAAAACTCATTTGATGCTGGTCTCTTTGTGAACAGTGTCACTACATCAACAGTCAGCTGTTTCTTTTGATCTCGCGCGCCATCTTTGAAGAAGTTAGATTGGAACTCGCGTGAGTAGCAGATCAATGTGATCCATGTACTGCGGAGTGATTCTATTGGAATAGAGATTACTCCGTACTATAAGAAACGCGTCCTGCCTCGTGCATTGGGTTTGTTTTACATTGGCGGGTGAAATGTGGTCAGGGAAGCAGTATTTCATTATCCACACATACTGAAAGCACTGAAGAAGCGTACGTATACTTCAATTTAAAGTTTGAGTTTTAATTTACATATTGTAGTGAATGAAGAGGTCAGTTTTAAGTCTGAGATTTACATGCAGTACAATCTCACTGTAGTGTTATTGCTCATGCGATTTTAGATTCCACCATACTGCTATAAGCAGATTTTAGGTTATGTTACTTACACTACACTCAAAAGGAGAACGGGACAATAAAATTACATTAGGAGAATCATTTTTATCTTCGTCCATCAGAATGGTTTTCAAACTAAAATCGCGGCCCAGGTCAGGTTCACAGGGACCGTCAGCTAGTTCGCGAAGATTCTTCAAAAAGATTTTTCTTCGTTTTTTAATGGAGGAAAGTGCCAGAATGTTAAACACAAGTAAACAAATGTTACGAATACTGAGAAGTACATTTGATTGGCTGAATCAAGGAGAATGAGACAGAGATCGCCTGGGTTGTAACACCGTGTAGTCTGGTAGAATTCCACCGCTGCTCTCCTTTTGCTTCTTGTTAGTTTCTTGCTTGGCTTACTTTTCGACCTTGAAGAAAGCAATAGGTTCCTCGAGAAAGTGCATGGGCTTCTACAAAACTACACCGCGTTACAACCCAGAACATACGTTTGATAGTCACTGCTGTGAGAATACCGCCTCTGTGGTCTAATGATCAGAGTTCGATTCTCGGCGCTACCAGATTTTCTGAGAAGCAGTGGGTCTGGAACGGTGTCCACTCAGCCTCATGAGGATAATTGAGGAGCTACTTGAATGGATAAGTAACAGCTCCGGTCTAGAAAACCGAAATTAATGGCCATGGGGATTCGTTGCGCTGACCACGTGGCACAAACAAGCGTCGGTCGCTCTGTCAGCATAGTTCGCTTGCGGACTAAAACCACGGAGTTTGTTTGTACTGCCGTGAGAACCTCAAATCCAAAATATGTTGCACAACCTCAGGGACTGGACTGCTTGGGAGACAAAGACGGTAGAGGCATGACCAAGAACGCGTGGCTGATGCGCAGAAATACATTTCGCGTCCTCATAATGGACTCGTCCGAAAAGTGTTGCTGCTGGGGTGTCGTGTCAGACGTGAGCCATATGAGCTAGCAGCTCGGCCCGATGAGTCACAGCAGTGCGACTGAAGAGCGCGTACAGTGTGGTCGCGTCTTACGCGAGGATGAAAACCGAAAGACCTCGCATAATTCAAGGCAAATTTTAAGAACAAATACATGATCCTTACCGATTTTCTTTTGATGGGGGGGGGGGAGTGAATTCACGTTATTTCAAACTTTGCGCATTATATTTTTTATACCGCACCATTTCAAATTCGCGTAAAATAAGACCACACTCTCTTCTCATTGTGATTTTTACTGAATGAACTCACAAAATACATGTGGGTAAGATAAAGGTAAAGTTGCCCCTGCGCTAAACGAATTAAGTACTACGCCATGAAGGCGTACGGGGGAGTGGATGTATAGACCCACATTTTTTATCTCGGCACTATTGGAGGTGAGCGGTCAGTTTCACGCCCCTGTTGTTTCCCCCCCCCCCCCCCCCGCGAGGCACCCNGGTACCCATTGGGTAGGAGGCTGGGTAGGCCCCAGAGCCGGTCTGGACGACTTGGAGAAGAGAAAATTCTTGACCCTACCGGGACTCTAACTCCGACCACTCTGTCGTCCAGCCCGTAGCCAGTCGCTATACCGACTGAGCTGTCGCAGCTCACTGTGTATGTTTAGCTGGGCTCAGATTACTTGCTGTCTTTCAGAATATGTCATACGTGGTATTATCCAACAGTTATCTTGTGTAATGAGTTCTCAGGAGGAAGGAAAGTTGAACGCAGACAAGGTTATTGTCGCCCCTTCCGTCGTTGCTATACGGATAGCCCCACCCCCTCCTACTCTCCTCCCTCACACCCTCCCTGAAGCAAACTCACTACCGGTTCGTCTGTCCTCTACTCATTGCGTCTTAGGGAAACGGGACTTATGAATGGCTCAGAATAGCACAGAAAATTGGATTTCGTGGCGATGTTCATGAATCTTCGGTTTCCATAACGACAGGAATTTCTTTAAACGACTGAACGAAGCCAGCAAGTTTCTTAGCCATAGCGCCACAATTATAAATGTTTTTAGTTTCAAGCAAATGGGTATTATTTAGCTTCGTGGAGCAAGAGGTGTATTGTAGAGTTAACTGTTTGAGTGAAGGTCCCATAACCAGGCTGTAGAGATGACATATTCTAACAAGAAAACCGGTTTCAAAGCAACTTTTCAAATGGAACTGTACGTCAGAATACTGCGATAGTACTGAATGTAGTGTGGTCTCCATACGCAAAGCTTGTCTGTTTCGGCTCAGTGAATATCGGCCTTCAAAACAGAGCCCAGCAACTTGGGAGTTATTTCTTGTAGTTTGTATAGTACGTATTCAAATTATTGAATCTGAGGTTCTCAGGGCCGTGACTATGGGATGTAACACCGTGTAGTCTGGTAGAAACAGCCCTGCACGCTGCCTGTTTCTTGCTGGGTTTGTGCTTGGCTTGCACTTCGACACTGAATATGGAGGTATCGCCTACCTCCGTGACGGTTAAAGACTGACTA